AAAATCATCCTAAAAGAAGCAAAAGAAAGCCTTCTAGAGCTCCAGCAAAGCAAGCAGTATCATACTCCCGGCGGTGGTGTGGGAGGTCCTAGGACAATAGAAGATGCGAGAGCTCAAGAACGTCAAAAAAAAACACCAAGAAGAGCTTGAAAAACTCCAAAAAAAAAGAGAAACAACAGGAACGAGCTGCTAGTATAGCTCTACGAAAAAAAATTAATAGACGAGGCAAGGACTGCGCGGGAGTTGAAGAAAATAGCGAGGGATAAAGAGAGAGAAGTGAGGGCCAAAGAACTCCAGTTAAGACGCGCCCAAAAAGCTCGCGATCGCGCAGTTGCAACTTCAAAAAAAGCTCGCGATAAGCAAAATATACCTAAACGAAAAGCTTCATCGTCTCAAAAGTCAAAAAAGTCAAAGGGTGGTGGTGATGCAGGCAGCCAAAGTGGTGGTGCGTCTGCATCGTCGGCTGCGCAGCCCACCACCAAAACAACGATGCGCGGCCGCAACATCAAACTGCCAAAGAAATTTGAGTAGATAGGATTGTTTTTTGAACTATTTAGACTACTCCACCAAAAAATCTCGTGATAATAGCTTTTGTATGGTGCTCTACAGCCTCATTTTTGATAGGCGGACATTTTAGTGGTGGTGTTGCATTGTCTGACCCGTTGCACGCATTGACCACCCACACTATCGCGGATGGACAGCGGAAGCGCACGGGCCTCCTGGCGGTACGTGGCATTGCCGCACGTTATCCCTTGCGATAGCCTTGATCAACAAGTCCGCTCATATCTACGTAACATCTACATGTAGCGACTTCGGCCTCGATGGAAGTACAACCGACACCGCTTGCTCGAGATGAAATCGCATCTCTCTCATCGGATTGGTGCCTCATCACCAGGCAGTGCTACGACCTTTACTGATACTTCGTACAAACGCCTCTGGCTACACCCCCACTCGACATCTCTAAAGAGTCGGCTTCCTGGCGCGTCGATAACCACATCACCATCCCCATTGAGACGCCCCAATTGCATATCCTCAACATATGCAGCAACCAGGCCGCAATATGCCTTCACAGGAATTCGCGATAGCTACTGTGGGGCAGGCCGCCATTGCCCAAGGTCGAATGAGACGGGCTCCTCAACCGCCTGCGATGTGATGAAGGCGCCGTTCAACATCTCATTTCGGCAATTTTCTACAGAAAACAATCTGGCAAAGAAGGTTAACCAGCGGAAATCTCAAGAAATTCAACCAACCGTGCGAACGGAAGTAAGCGCCCAAAGAGTCAGCCATCATCCACAGGCATCGTTTGAGGAAGGGTTGAGCCATGAACAGCGGACTGTGTTAGACTTGGTGTTGAAAAAGGGCAAGAGTGTCTTCTTCACGGGTCCTGCAGGTACCGGAAAGTCTTTCCTTCTGAAAAAAATCATTGAAGGCTTGGCCATCAAATACCTAGATGACAGCGAGGAGCGCTTTGCTGTCACCGCTTCTACTGGGCTTGCTGCTTCTAATCTTGGCGGGAGGACGCTTCACAGCTTTGCTGGAATCAAGCTTGGCAACGCTCCCACAACCAAGCTTATCATGGATGTTTTCGACAACAAGATGAAGTTGAGGCGTTGGTTAAGTGTGAAAGTCCTCATTATTGACGAGGTGTCTATGGTTGACTGCACACTCTTTGACAAGCTTGATGTCATCGGTCGTGCAGTGCGTGGTGTCGAAAAGCCATTTGGAGGGATTCAGCTCGTCATTACCGGAGACTTTTTCCAGCTCCCACCCGTGGTGCAGGGACAGGACACTGGTGCCCCAAGGTTTTGCTTCGAAGCGAATGCATGGAAGGACGCTGTTCAGCACACAATAAGTCTGACTCAAATCTACAGACAGAAGGATCCGGTATTTGCCAGCATGTTGAACGAGATCCGAGAGGGCTACCTCTCACCAAGTACTATTGGTGCTTTCCGGAGATTAAATAGACCTGTGACGGCACTTGTAAGCAAGGGGCTAGAAGCTGCTGAGCTCTTCCCTCTACGTCGTGAAGCGGACTGGGCGAACGCAAGGCGGATGCTGAAACTCAAGAGTAGGGTTTTCACCTACAGATCTATGGAAGGCGGAGTGATCGAGGACCCAAATACCCGCAAGAGCCTCTTATCTAACTGTCCAGCTCCTGAGCTCCTTGAGCTAAAGACAGGTGCACAAGTCATGCTTGTCAAGAATCTGCGGGATTCACCCCTTGTCAACGGATCACAAGGTACGGTCGTTGGTTTTGCAAACAAAGAGACCTTCTTTCATGACAGATGGCTCGATCAAGACTACATGGAAACTCCAGAAGGGGATTTCCGAACTGAACAACTTTCAACCACGGCTGTCCAACCAGAAGAACGTTTGCCACTTTACCCCGTGGTACGCTTCAATCTTCCAAATGGCTACACCCAGACTATATTATGTCCTCCGGAAGAGTGGACTATCGAGCGATGGATTCGTGATCGATGGCAGGACAGCGGCTGGGTCGTTGAAAAGCTTGCCACCCGGATTCAAGTCCCCCTCATCCTTGCATGGGCGCTTAGTATCCACAAGGCACAGGGTCAGACACTATCACTTGTGAAGGTAGACCTGAACCGAGTTTTCGAGAGGGGCCAGGCGTATGTGGCATTGTCGCGTGCGTCGAGCATGGACGGATTACAGGTGCTCAACTTCAATCCCAACAGGATCAGAGCGCATCCAAAGGTCAAGGAATTCTACGCGAGCTTGTCAAGGATATAGTAGTTCGGCACTTGTATAGCTCTACTTCAAGTACAAATTTGAGGCGAAAGCGAGATCAAGGCCTGGCCCGTATCATGCAGTTGCAGTCGGCCTACCCAAAATTCCTAGTTATGGTTGAGGAAATATGTCCTTACAACTCTTCACACAACTGGTACTCTCTGTGTCAGCTCTCTCACGTCGCTAAAAGACATTTAATATCCCCAGTATCCTGCCATTCTGCACAAAACACTTTGTCGCAAACATGCCGCCCCTCACTCCCCTTGTTCCTAAACACGCTCTCGCAAGCGCCAGCTGGGACCGGCGCTTCATGACAGTCATCGAACATACTACTTACGGCCTCCGATCATGTGAGATGAGTTTTCGGTCGTTCTGGAAACCCATAGACCAAAATTTTCGTTGAAACAGTCAGAATTCTGCATCCTTTGCACATGGATAGAGAGGCACTGCATACGTACACCAGGCTTATCTTGACATCAGAATATTATACGTTCATTCCAGTATTTCACTCTAAACAGTACCAACTAAATACCTTGATTAGGCTGATCTTTTTTTTTGACTGAACGTCGCCCGTACGACAAAGTAACACCAACATTCAACATCCTAACTAAACGATCTAAAATTCATAAAGAAGCCTTGTTTAGGACGTCTCTATATTACCAGATCCTCTTCATTTGTATCTTCATGTCCCTGTCTGGTGGCATTGCGCCAGCACCGCAATAGCGCTGATCGCTGCGGGCCATTCTGTCCGACGGAGAGCCATCCAACTGTGTCCATTCCGCGCTCTCAAACTCAAACTTAGAGACTATCAGACCAATAGTAGCCAAGATTTCATGCTTGGAGAAGTGTCGTCCTGGGCATACGGGCGGGCCTCCACCTATGAGAGAAAACAATTAGTCTTGGGCAACCATAGAAGTAGAAGGAGAGGGAAATCGTACCGAATGGAAAGTAAGAGCTTGGACGACCAGCCATAGCGAAGGTACGTTTCTGAGTCTTATCGCCGGATTCGTCAATATCTTGCACATATTTGATATGGCGTTCAGCCCAAAACTCAGAAGCAGGATGCCCTTCACTGCCCCACACAGCTTCGTCGTAGTGCGCAACCATCATCGGAGCTTGCAGCATAGCGCCCTTCTTAAGCATATGTCCATCGACGGCAAAAGGCTCCTTGACCTGGCGAATGATGTTGAAGTTCATTCTCAGCCGCAGTGTTTCGGTAAAAACAGACTGCAGCAACGGCAGCGTCGCTAGTTTCTGGATGTCAAAGGTCCGCTCGCCTGTCTGTGGGTCAATTATTTCTGTCGTGGCAACTTCTTCCTTTACCGCTTTGAGCAGCGCAGGGTCTCTGGCTAGCTCCAGAATCATCCACATGGTGGTGGGAATGGTGTTGGAATTTTGTCTGCAATCATGTCAACGAACCAAGTTGAGAGGGAAGTAGAAAAAATGATAGAAGAGAATCTAAGAGACGTACGCAAACAGCAGTGCGCCCAATGCCCCAGAAATAGATCGATCCAGGAAATCGGTATCGGTAAGCCACTTTGTGATTTCGCGACATACACGAGCGCCAAACTGTGGCTCCCATGGCGCTTCACGCTCAGGACCGTCCCAATCGAATTTTGCGCGTGCGGATTTGGCGTACTTTTCGATCATGCCAATGTACCGGTCGTGCGCTTTATACGGCTTCGAGTATAGCCAGCGGGGCAGTCCGAGCGTCAGCATGAACACGTTGTCGTCAAATTCCCAAAAGACATCCAAAAAGCCCGGGTTGAGTTCGAAAATTGTAGGCCCCATGAGAGTTCTCATGGCGCTTTCAGTTACCTGGTTCTTGCAGAAATCGATCACGCTGATGGTCTTCGACTCGCCGATAGGGAAGCGATCTAGAACCTCGGTGAATATGCTACGGAACACTTCGATGACGGGCTTGAGGTAGGCTGTGCGAGCTAGGTACTGTGTGTGTACGTGTTCGTAAGAGTGCCAGTATCGTTGCTCTGCGGGGACATTCTCGAAGCCAGGTGCTGGAACGATTCCTCGTCCAGAATGGTCGTTTGCGAAACGCTGCACGTGTTCCTTGGGCATTTTGTAAAGGACTGGAAATACCCTTTCGACAAATATGTCTTCGTTGCCAACCTTGTTTCCCCTTCCAAATAGGGTTTGCATATTGTTGGCTCCGGTCAACAAGTAAAATTTAATTGGTCCCAGCCAGAAGGTCGCTAGGTTTCTTCCTTCCATGAGCTTTCTGTCCAGTTGCTAGTGTCAGATATCGCTTCTTATTGTTATGGTTTTTCGTCTCTCGTACATTACCCGTTGCATAAACAATTCATTGTTGGTGAGGAATTGAAGAGTGTTGGAGACAAATGGGATGTTATCCCACAGGCTTGGGGGCCGCTTCGTCGTTAGCCATGAGGCAACGGTAATCAGTGTTACAAGCACAAGGCCAGATGTGACATAAATCCTCGAGTTGCCTTGATCGACGGACTGCAGAACCCCAGACGCAGAAACTGTGGTATTCTTGAGGGTTTCCATGGTGGGATGCCTTGTGTTAGTTCTGGGGAAGCTCAAGTGGATCCCATGGGATGAAAATAGTTCAAACGATACGTATACTGAAATGAGAGAATGATGAAAGCACCCAGAAGAAGTCAGTAATGATGCCCTTTGATCTAGAAAAATAATTCGATTCGAAACGAAAGGAAACAACGAATGCTAGCCAGCATACCCTGACGTGACATGCCTAGTATGTAACAGTCAAAGCATACCCGATAGAAACAGCACAAACCGAACAATAGAGCTGTTAAGGAGACCGGATTTTTGAGCGCATGGCTATGGTTCGCTCGTGGTTTAGCGGTGGATAGGCCTCCGAATCGGGTCCGAAGCGCTTTCCGATTGGCCCCACGGGACAGGCTGTAGTGTAGAAGCGCCCCGATTGGCTGGAGTACCGCTGAGCCGCTTACCTACCCTAATCTAGCAATGAATGTTCGACCTGCCGATTTGAACTGCGAAAAAAAGCCTTGTGCATCAATCAAGTATCCCAAGTCAAAATGAAGTTCGAATTTGGCGTGGCCGGTTTTGCAGTTGTCGTATCTACCGTGCGTGGTGCCGAGCAATGGCCTCTTTCAGGAAATATCAAGCATCAGAGCACTGTACTCCAACATTCATTGATCGACAGCTGTGAAGATGCTGTAAGTTGCCATTCAAGCACCATAGGACTCTATCAACATATCAACGACCTTCCGTGGCCTAGACTGACGCCATACAGTGCCAGACGCTGAGGAAACAGTATCCCTCTCAAGTCAGCTTCTCCAATGAGGAAACATACAGCGCCGAGCTCTCGCAATTTTGGTCTCTTCAGCAGTCTCAAACATTGCCCGCATGCTTTTTCCGTCCCAAAACCTCGCAAGATGTTGCGTCGGCGATTCTTATCTCCCAAAAAACGGCATGTCGATTTGCAGTAAAATCAGGAGGCCATGTGCCCTTCGCTGGTGCATCGAATGTCGCTGGCGGGATTACCATCGATCTTGCGGAGCTCAATGAGGTTACCGTGAACTCAGACAGAAACACGGCCACTGTAGGACCAGGAAACAATTGGGGCAGTGTCTACAGACAGCTTGAAAAAGAACAGAAAACCGTCGTCGGTGGACGCATCGCTACAGTTGGTGTCGGCGGACTGACTCTTGGAGGCGGCATCTCATTCTTCAGCAACATATACGGACTGGCATGTGACAACATTGCAACCTACGAAGTGGTCACCGCAACTGGCGATATCATAACTGCCTCCGCAACTTCGAACCCGGATTTATTCTGGGCTTTGCGTGGCGGCGCCAGCAACTTCGGGGTGGTTACCAGCTTCGAAATGCAAACCTACCCGCAGGAGCAGAATCTAATGTGGATCGGAAAAGTGCTGCATCCGTGGACAGAAAGAGCAAGTGTTATCAAGGCATTTGCTGATTTCGGCACCAAGGATACTGACGCCAACGCTACGCTCCTCTTCAGCTTTGTATACCTCCAGAAGCAGGATCAATACATCAGTGTCAGCGAAATGGATTACGCAACATCCGTTGCACAAGATGCACACCCTCCTGTATTTGATGCATTCTTCCAAGTTCCGAATAGTATGCAGGCTTCAAAGGAAACCAAAACAATTGTCGACGTCATTGAGGCGCATAGTGCCTCCAACCCTAACGGACTAAGACAAAGCTATTGGACTGCGACTTTCATCCTCAGCCAGTCACTAGCAGAGGAGATAGTCGAGATGTGGAAGGAAGAAATCGATCCCATCAAGTCGCACGTCACTGGTTTTATTCCAGTGCTGACTTTGCAGGTCATCACTGTCCGCATGATGGAGCACATGGAGAAGAATGGAGGGAATGCTCTGGGACTGGCTGGAAACAATGAGCCGCTTATGATTGCTGCTCCCAGTGCTATGTGGACTGATTCGGCTCACGACGAGACTGTACTGTCTGCCTATTCCAAGTGGCTTTCAAGAAGCAATGCTAGGGCTAGAAAGTTGGGGCTAGACCATCGCTATCTGTATATGAACTACGCGAGCCAGTTTCAGGATCCTATAAGGGGATATGGTGAGCTGAATGTGGAGAGATTGAAGAGAGTTGCTGAGATGTATGACCCCGAAGGAACTTTCCAGAAGTTGCAGCCCGGGCACTTCAAGCTTTGAACGAGTAAATATTCTGCATGACCTGTTCCTATCTTCCAAGATTTCATTAATCAATTATTTTACTGTTAGATCTAGTCCCCTGCCAGCATCGCTACAACTTCAAAGCAGCCTTGAAAGCTGCTTTCAACATGTTTTTTTTTACTAGAGATTGATAAACTCAGATTGCTATGTCTTCATCCAAAGTCCAAAAATAATGTGAAACAATGCAATATCAACCTATTAACTCCTGAACTTGGATGGCAACAAATACGGAAATAGATGTCCTTTTAGAGACGTAGATTCATGAAAACCAAGGGCTATAAGACCAAGAATAGCCTTCCTCACTACTCCAATGACCCAAAGCTATGTTAAAGGGAACATTTACTCCTTGCTTAAGGTTACATCCCCAAGAGTGCCCAAACATACACATTTACTTGAGGTAGGAACACCTACCTACTCAACTTCCTGATCCTCCCAAAACACAAGGCACCTGACCTCGATACTCTGTCTGGGGCCCCCATAATCGTCTTTGGTCTGAAACGCCGTATGTGGTGTCCTTCTGGCCCTACCATCCTTCTTCGAATCAAAGCACTTGATCATCAGCACCTCATCAGGCTTCATCTCACTTGCATAATACCACTTATGCGCAGGATTATGTGCAACGTTGAAGACTTCGAACCCGTCTCCGCGAGACACTTTACTTCCATCGCCCTGGGAGGGCAACTGGACGAAAACGGTTCGTAAGTCGTCTTCAGAGCACGACCGCGCGTCGCACACGCCCAAGGGGTCACGATGCACAGGGGAAACAGGCCTCCAGACGTTGATAATGCCCCATCTGGTTTTTGAGAATTTCTCCGCCTCATCGCCAAGATTCTGTTCTAGGACTTTTATTGCGCCGTTGTACGATTGATCTGCCATAATTCTTTGAGCTTCAAGTTCATAGAGGTGTAATGATAGATGGGGCGTGGAGAGAAAGAAAGGGGTTCATACCGACGTGGCACACCAGCGAGGGAGTCATGATAGGGATAATTTCCTTAGGATCGGCCTTCTTGGCCGCTTCTACTGCAGTCTCCACGAAGTTGTTTCGCACCAAGTGCGAAAATGGAATTACGCGTGTGGCTCCGGTTCTGTAATTTTTGACGTATCAGTAGCTGACAACCAAAGCTGTACCCAATCTGCGGCACGATTCCCACAGCCAATATTTTGCTTACTTGTTCTTGATTAACTCGGAAACTTCCTCATATACCACGCTCGTAATCCTTTCTTTATCATCAAACTTGGTCTCGGAGCACTCGTGCGCTTCAAACGCAAAGCCGTGAACATCAAGATTGAATTCTTCGTCACTCTTCCTAATGTCGTTGAAGGGCATCATGATTGCTTTTAGCGGTCGTAATTTATCAATTGCAGTTCCTGGATAGAGGACATCGGTGCCACCTTCATGGAGTTCCAGGAAGTAGTTGACGGACGCATGGAGGGAGGGCTGAGCTGGAGCGATGACTGCCATTTTCGCTGGTTACGACGTATGCGGGATTCAGCTCTGTGTGTATTATCTATGTAGATGTATGAAAGCGAGTAGACTCAAATGCATGTATGCGTTATGGATCAACGTCGGTGAGATCTCCGGCGCCATTCGGAGGCTACTTACCGCAAGATCTGCAGCCCAACGTCTCCGAACGTCTCATATTTCGGAACACGGGTTAGCTGCTGTGCATGACACATGCACACCGTTCGATTCGGCGGGCGCTGTCCTATCAACGTTGACAACGCCGGTGCTCCTTTTGTAGTCTCATACCACACTTTGATGTGTACACATTTCTCAATTTCCAGTTGCCCACTTTGATCAAGATGGACACCTGAAAAAAGAAAAGTGTGACAAGCAACGCATGCTGGAGAGTGTAGACGTGAATGCAGATGAAGCTCGCGACACTCAAAATAATGGAAAAATATTCCCGAGAAGGAAATGCAAAGTTTTTCATGGTGCAGTTTCCAAGAAGAAGCATGATCATGACAGTGCGGCTGAGTCGGTGCGTGGTTCGCCCATCACCACCAGCTGCATGCAACAGCCGTTATTGGCAAATTGCTCCACGTAGAATTTTTGACGAGAACCATGTGTCGCATGGGGTCTGCAGGGGGTTCTGTTTGAAGACGCCATTGCAAAGGCTACTATGTATGGCTCCATATCACCATGGTTGCGATACCTGTACAAGTTTGGTGGCGCATAGACTGCAAAAACACAGTAGGTAAGTAAGAAAAAAATCTCTATAATCCACCAATAAGGCAGCAACAGGGCGAACATCAAATATGACAAATATCTCATTATTGAATTTCCATTATTATTATTATTCCATTAGAGTCTATCTGCAGTCAGTGACTATGTAAGACTTTGGCCAGAGGCCGTTCTAGGTACAATTTGTTTAAAGTGAGAGTGTTCTCTGTATAGTACTGCTATTGTGCTGCGGTTTAGTCGCTTCTAGCTGCGCTTAAAGCGGACTCCAGTTGCTGAAGAGCAGTTTAGTAAACAGGAAGAGATGTTAGACAGCAGGGCTGTCTTCCAGCGAGCTCTTTTAGGGCTAAGGAAAGTAACTTAAGAAAGTTTGTTAGTTATTATTAGTTTTAGGTAGTGTCTCTCTGTTCTCGCTTATTTTTAGTTATCTTGTTCTTGGCCTAGATGCCAGCCTCTAGTCCCTACTCTAGTTTTAGCAATGAAAGCTAAAGTCGCCTCTCTGCCT